CAACACAGGGCCCGACTCCACAACCCTGGGATCACGACCTGAGTCAAAATCAAGGGTCACATGTTCAACGGACCGAGCCACCCAAGCGCCCCACAGCCTCCCTCTTCCAAATTTTGTTAGCAAGTTTTCCAATTCTGATTGCCTTCTGCTGTCTCATATTCAGAAGATACATACTTTTAGTTAAACCTGTAATCTGTTCCTTAAAGAATCTGCCCATTGGTTTTGTCTGGAAAATTCCATCACATGCGGATAGTCACTGGTAGGTTCTTCTAGTTTATTTTATCCTTAATCCATCTGGGGTTTGAAACTGTAACCTAACGTCCTCCAATATGTACCAATATGTACCCTTCCCTTCCTATGTTCTGACGGTTCTGTTGTTCAAAACTGACCTCTGGGCCTCAGAACCCAAATATAACTCCAGGACAGAATTGGGGATAAAGAGGAACAAACAATAGCTTTATTGCTTTTCGAAGCAAAGGAGCCTGCAGCAGGATCTGGTCTTCACAAACGGCAGGCTGCAATCTGGCCGGGAGGAAAGGCTTAGGGAGGGTTTATAGGGAAATACAGGATCTAACCTGTTTTGCCAGGAATTGTTTACCTGGCACCAGCCTCCCCCACGGCGTCTTCAGGGTGGTACCAGGTTTCTGAAACAATAGGCTAAGAAGGGAGGAGAGGAGGTTTGCAGAAGAGAAGAAAAAGGTGACTTTGAAATCGAGCTTCCCTGAAGCATTAGTGCAGCCATTTTGATTTTTGTTCAACTTTATCCTTTTAAGCAGTTTCAGTTCCTTTGCAGTATTTTACAACCGCTGACACCTATTTCTGGCTTATTACGGTACTGGTCTGAGAGTTCAAATGTAAACTAGTAATACATTTTTAATTTTTTGGTTTTAAAACAAGGCTTTAGGGGCGCCTGGGTGGCTCAGTCGGTTAAGCATCCGACTTCGGCTCAGGTCACGATCTCACGGTCCGTGAGTTCAAGCCCCGCGTCGGGCTCTGGGCTGATGGCTCAGAGCCTGGAGCCTGTTTCCGATTCTGTGTCTCCCTCTCTCTCTGCCCCTCCCCCGTTCATGCTCTGTCTCTCTCTCTGTCTCAAAAATAAATTAACGTTAAAAAAAATTAAAAAAAAAAACCAAGGCTTCATATTTAGTATTTTAAGACTTCTTTACTTTCCTCTCTCAAAGTATGCCTAGCTATTCTTGCCTATGTTTTCTTTAAGATAAAATTTGGAACAATTTTACCAACCCTTTGACAATGTGATTGGACTTCCACTTAACAGATGGACTGGTTTGGGAAGGGACGTGTCTAAAATATTTATCATCTAGGACCACAATGTAGTTTTTCCCCCTTCAGGTCTATTTGTCCCACGCACATCTTGAGTTTGAACATTTTTCTGAGTTTGTTGCTGTGATGAATGATACATAATCCCATTATATTGTGAAACCTTTTTTTTAATTTTTGCTTGAATATAGAAAAACTTAATTTTTGAATATCTGGATATTGGTTAATGTTATAAAAACCTTAAGACAAGATTTTTTGGGGCTTTCTATTTGGACGAACATATGATCTGCAGTAATGAAAACAGTGTTTTCTTTCCCAATAGTCATAAGTCATTTTAAGTTTCGATTGCATCAAAACATATTAAATCAATATGCTGATGACAATCCCTGAAAACGTTAAGAAAGCACACATTAGTTAAATTTTTGACAAGCAGGCTTGTAAATTTTTTTTAATGTTTATTTTTCAGAGAGACAGAGCGTGAGTGGGGGAGGGGCAGAGAGAGGGAGACACAGAATCCAAAGCAGGCTCCAGGCTCTGAGCTGTCAGCTCAGAGCCCGATGCGGGGCTCAAACCCACAAACCGTGAGATCACCCCCTGAGCAGAAGTCAGATACTCAACTGACTGAGCCACCCAGGCGCTCCCCCCCCCAACGCATCTGAATTTTTTTGCATAATGTGTTAAATTTTCTACCATTACCACACCCTTTTCCTCTCAGATATTTCTGCCTAGAGAATTAATTTTTTTTTAACTTTTTCAAGTTTATTTTTTTGAGAGAGAGAAAGAGCAAGCAGGGGAGGGGCACAGAGAGGGAGACAGAGAATCCCAAGCAGGCTCTGCACCATCAGCACAGAGCCCCATGAGGGGCTCCATCCCACCAACCCTATCATCACCTGAGCTAAAAACAAGAGTTGGACACTCAACTGACTGGGCCACCCAAGCACCAATGGAGAATTAATGTTTTTATTTATTTTATTATTATTTAAAAAAATTTTTTTAATGTTTTTGAGAGAGGGACAGAGCATAAGTACATGAGGGGCAGAGAAAGAGGGAAACAGAATCCCAAGCAGGCTCCAGGCTCTGAGCTGTCAGCACAGAGCCCGACACGGGGCTCGAACTCACAAACTGTGTGATCAGGACCTGGGCCAAAGACGCTTAACTGACTGAGCCACCCAGGCACCCCAAGAATTAATATTTTTTAATCACTACTCACACACGACACTTGGTTACAAAGTACCACGTTGACTACTAAATTTAAGTGCTGGTAGCTAAGGGAAAGATAATAATCTGTGGAGACATGGATTGATTTCTGAATGGCTAATTTTAATGGTGATATGCCCCGTTACTAATGCATTCGGTCATGCCCACCGTCAAAGACTACAACCTATGGTAGTCACTTTTGCCATGAACACAGCGTGGCATTTATTTTGTATTTGACATGATGAGAAATAACTTTTATTTGTCTCAGCTAGCTACAAAAGTCCAGTTTAACTGGGCCTACGTGTGAATTAAAACATGGCTTCCTCCTCCCCTAAATAACTACGGAAGAAACCCTACTTATGTTAGTGAATTATATTCGATGGCTAACACAAATCCATGTTTAGAGACAATACTGCTTCTGTAGGGGAGCAAATTTTGCCACCCCCTAATTTTCCTCTTTGGCATGCTGATTATTTTAAGCTGGCAATTTTTAAGAAGCTACAGACACAAGAGAAACTCTGAAAACCAAGTGCAAGTTGCCCTTTTAAGAGATATTTACATATAGAAGGGAAATCTCTTTCAGTACCAGTACCAAGAGGGCAATGACTCTAAATCTCTTGAAACTATTGTCAATGGAAAAGGCATGGACTTAAATTTGCCTAACATTAGCCTAGTTTGCTGTGCTTTATCTGGTAGCCTCCTATAACAGACTCCCCACCCCCAACACCTTTTGTCTTTAGCTGAAGGTGATGTTTAGGGTAATGGTTTCTGCCACGGAGTTACTGTTTTCCTGGGTGTCTCCCATGTACGCAGAGGTATACCTGATATTTATTAAACTCTGTTTGCTTTTCTCTGGTTAGTCAGTCTCGCGTCAATTCGATTCTTAGACCAGCTAGAAGAACCTTCACAGGTAGAGCAAATAGTTTTCCTTCTCCACAGGTCACATTTGTAAAGCTGAACAGTTGCTTACTATAGAAGCGCCTAGGTACTGCCTATAAAAGAACTGATCTTGTTCACTCTTGTTCTTATTAAGAAATATAGTAACTGGCAGTATTTCATTAACTACAATAAACCTTCCATCTCAAAATTGTAGTTTATGTTTTGCGAATGATTCCTAACCATTCCCTATACAAGACCCTAGATGACAGTAAAAGCAGTGTTTAATAACTGACATATAGGGAACAATTTAAATAATTTCTAGAACTTTCTCAAGGAACTTGAGTTTTTGCTTCCTTTTGAAACCATTTTTTTTTTTATTTTTCACTTTGCTCGTCCCAGTAGTATGAATTTTATTTTATAAGATTTTATTGTTGAGTAATCTCTACACCCAACATGGAGCTCGAACTTACAACCCTGAGATCAAGAGTCATGTGCTCTGTGGACTGAGTCAGCCAGGCACCCCATGTCTCAGTAGTACAAATTTTATTAAAGTCATGCTAAAATGTATAAAAGGGAGTCACAATAAACAGATTCTATATAATCCCTATAACAGGCATTAGCAATAGGGTTACGTTCAGACGTATCTCACCAAGAGCCATTCTAGAAAGTTGAGGTATCACAGTAGGTAGTTTTCATGTGAGACTTGGGGAAATGAGACTCTAAAGTCTTTATGTCTACTGTGGAGAAAAATCTCTCAAAACCTGTCCATTTAAATGCAAATCAGATGCAGTCACGCTACAAAAAGAGTGTTGAGATAACCTTGGGTATTTGTAAATTAAAAAGTTAAGACTTAATCATCGATTTTGCTAAACTCCAAAATCTATCATAGGATTTAAAGCAAATGGGGCACAATGTTAGCAACCAGCCATTCTAGGTGAAGGTTATATGGTGGTCATTATGGTTATATTATTTTTAACTTTCTGTAAATTTGCCAATTTTCAAAAATAAGAAATGAAAAAACCTGTTCATAAAAGACACCATGAATGAAGTAAAAACATAAGACATAGACGCAAAGTATTTGTCAATGAGTATCACTGATTTTAGAGAAAAAAAAAAGGGGGACCCATCTAATAGGTAAATCCATCTACTGAGAGCATGGGAGAAACATCTGACAGGTATTGAAAGAAAAAAATGATTTAGATGGCAAGAGGCAGCACTATCATATAATGCCCTCACTGACATCATCTTGTGAGTTTCCAGTTATGTTTTTCTTGGTCTAACGTCGGCTACCCTATTTAATCATGCAAAACACAGAAGTCTACCTATTGGCACGTTTGCACATGACAAAGGTTCAAAAAATGTGAAACATTCATTCAGGAGGGTCAGGATAACAAAGCTCTCTCCATAAAACGAGAACGTTTTCTAACTTGAAGGAATAAAAAAATGTTTTCTCAGTTGAGTGCCTGGAAACTGTTTGATATTATGACTTTGCTATGTTACCGCTTTCATTGGCTATGCTTTACAATCAAGTACGTAGTTTTGACTGTTGTTTAAAGTTTCAGCCAAATGATAAAGCGTCACATTTCCTGTTAGCTCTTTGGCTGAACAGTATCAGCTTAGCAAAAGGGCACGTTTTTTGTTTTGTGTTTTCTTTTCTCTTCTTTCTAATCTTCGTTAACTTTGAGCTAGGAGATAGCACGAGAGCAACCTCGAATCGCTGGCCTTTTGGCGGAAAAGTAGAGCAAAAAACCAATATGCTGTGAATAATACCAACACTGAAACCGTGTGCCCCAAACCTGGGGTGCCCCTCAGGATCCCCAGGCCTTCGAGGACGCATGTGGAACAACAGCAAGGGGCTGGGTTCCGAGAGAAGGCAACCTGTAATCCAAGGGCTAAGGACCGACGGAGGGGCAGGAAGCATGAAGACGCAGGGACAGCAGAAGCCAGTCCTTCTCAAAGGGAGACACAGGTGACATTGGGACGTAAGGTCCTGGGAGGCTGGACGCAAGTGGATCCAAAGAGCAACAGCCTTGATACCCGGAAATAGTAGACTGCTGGCTAAAAACTCCTCAGAGCCCTCAGAAATTGCCCACACATGGCCCGTTCGTGCCACTCCCCATACCTACCTTCCCCTTTCTGTCTGAGATCCCTGCACGGATTGCTATCACTTGAATCACAAAAGAGAACTGAGGCAGTCATATGGGGGCACCATGAAAACAAGGTTTTTTTTAAAACATGTCTTTTAACGTTTGTTTATTTTTGAGAGACAGACAGCGTTTGGGGGGGGGGGAGGGGGAGAGAAAGAGGGAGACATAGAGTCCCAAGCAGGCTCCAGGCTCTGAGCTGTCAGCACACTAGGCTGTCAGCCCGCCCGACACGAGGCTCGAACCCACAAACCGCGAGATCATGACCTGAGCCGAAGGCGGACGCTCAACCGAGCCTCCCAGGCGCCCTTGAAAACAAGTTTTTATACAGTACAGCTTGATAGCAGGGTCTGAGGAGACCGGGGTGGGGAGAAAGTAGAGAAAAATATTTGGAAAAACTAAAGTGTCCTCTGTAGACACTAGAACAACAAAGATAACTTTTTAAATAACCTAAGAGATTTTTTTCTAATAAGCTAAGATGATTCACAGAATCAACTAAACTAGACATCATCACTTTCTTGTTTTAAAAAACATCGATACATTGTTGGAAGGGAAAATTAGTCAGAAATATTCATGTTCAATCAAGCCCCCTTTTTCAAGTTCCCTGAGATGACACATACTGATACACACACGGCACAATGTTACGACGAAGTTATTTACAACGATCACTTAAAGTCAAACTCCTTATGTCACCGAATAAATCCTGCAAGATAAATTATATCCTTACAATTGGTTGTTGCTACAAATTTATTCAGATCAAGAAAACTGTCGTATTTAAAGCTCTCAAAGTAATTTTGGCACAGACGAAATCCTTTTAAGTCCCTGAGCTCTTTTAACAGGCTGGTTTTCGCACGGTCTCTTCCCCAGCCACCCGGGCCACTCAGCGCCCCTCCTGGCCCCATGCTAACTCTAGGTCAACATGTGATGCTATAACCTTTCTAGCCCACTGTGCTCCGGAGAAACCAGAGCTTGGAGGATACGCACAGTTGGGAGTCCCCACCCACAAGGGCGCCCCCTAGAGTTTCTCGGATGTGTATGAACAAAGCAGAAGAATCGGATGGGGTGCGTCTCATCTCACGCATGGGTTTTATTTCTCAAGTTGCCTACGATGAAGAGTCAGCGTTTCAGTGTCTCCAGGGCTTTATGCCGCAGATGCTCATCCAAACACTGGATGGCAAAGAGGTCAATGTCCGTGTCAAACTTGTTGGCAAACAAGTGGTGCTTTCGTAGCATCCAGTTCAAGTCACCTGCTCCGAAGACACACACAGAACGCACGTGGACCCCGCTGCAGGGCGGGTAGGGGGCCCCCTTGGAGACATCACCTTCAAAGTACTGCCACTTGACGAACCTCGCGATCGCGTGCATGTCAGACATGTCATACTTCTGGCTTAGGGACAGTGAGCCTGGGACTTCGGGGATCCTCTGGATAGTGGCCCAGAGATACTCATCTGGACTGTAAGTGTCTTTGGCCCACTCCATAAACTTCTGGATCTTTTCATTCTCTAGCACATAGCCCACATACTTCCTGCTGACCACAAAATAGGCACTGCCTGAGAACAGGGGCGTTTCAAGAGGAGGGTGCATTTTGTCCGTCCCCGTGTTGGTCAGCTTTCCATTAACAACTGTATAATGCTTTTTCCACCTTTCTTTTTTATTGGATGGCATTCTCTCGGACTCTAGGTTGTTTTCCCCCATTAACGATTTGAGCTTCCGGACAATCTCCAGGTTGGTTTTAATAGGGAAATCCATGCCGCAAAGATTTATCAAGTACCTCCAGTCTGCACTCATCCTGTAGAGGTCTTGCATGCAGTTGAGGTCGGCCTGAACCCGACTCCAAGAGGCATACACCACGCTCTCCAGCTGACTGGCCACGAAGACGTTACTGAAGCAGGAGGCGATGCCCATCACCGCGGCCAAAAAGGAATCCTCTGATTTTCTGTCCACGTGAATGCAGTAGAGATTCTGAGGCATATAGATGGCCCTCAGGAGCCTGTCAAGCATTTCGATTTTGTGATGAACCACTATAGAATACGCAATGGGAAACTCCGCCTCTTCTTTACTAAGGGGCTCTACGATATATTTGCGCCTCTTGACGAAAGAATTGCAATCTCTGGTCATGTTTATATAGTCGCTGGTTGTCCACCGAGGGCGCTGCCTAAATTTCACCGTTAGAATTTCAAGCTGTACCTTTTGGATTTCATCTACATCCCCCTGTAAAATTTTGGTACAATTAATATTACTATTAGGATTCTCCCCAACCAGCTCCAAATGCCCAACACTTACAAATTCGGGCTTTTGATGAATTCTTAAAACAGAGAAGGTGACTAGGGAAAACACAAGAAGCAAGAAGCAGTATTTAGTGGGATAAGAGAAAAGTCTCCTTCGCAACAACTTTCTCAGCATTTCAGACAATGATCGAGGATTTTCCTTAATTGAGGGCAGTCTTCCAGGCTTCAAACAGTCACGATTCCCCTTCTGTCGTGGCCTCGAGAGGGGTCAGTTTGCATCTGTCAAAACGGCAAAGGCATCTTGAAATGGAGAATGGCGCTAAAAGAAAAACAGAAGGAATATATATAAATGTGGTCTTTGCCGACATCTTCTCAGGTTTAAAAACCATCCTCTTGGCTAGGTCAGATATTTAAAATAGAACCAAATTGGCCAATGAGAGGAAAAGGACAGTGTCAGAAGAAACACACCGTCTGTAATATTAATACTAGATTAGTAAAAAAGAATTCAAGGGGGGGTGCCTGGCTGGCTCAGTTGGTAGAGCATGCAACTTTTTTTTTTTTAATGTTTGTTTATTTTTGAGAGAGAGAGAGAGACAGTGTGAGCAGGGAGGGTCAGAGAAGAGAGACGGAGAGAATCCCAAGCAGGCCCCACACGGGCAGTGCGGAGCCGGATGCGGGGCTTGAACCCACTAACCGCGAGATCATGACCTGAGCGGAAATCAAGAGTCGGGCGCCTAACCGACGGAGCCAGCCAGGCGCCCTGAGCAGGCAACTCTTGATCTCAGGGTTTTGAGTTCGAGCCCCATGTTGGGTGTAGAGATTGCTTAAAAATAAAATCTAAAAAAAATCTATGTATAAAGACGTGCTAGAATGTCCTATAATAAACATTTTACCTCTCAGGAATATTGAAGTACAAATCAGAGTTGAAGACCTAAGCTATAATTATTTTAACTCTCCACAGTTGGTGAGGTGAGTTCCTGCTCTCCCCTCTTAGTTTTATTAGCACCCTTTGCCTTGAAATCATTACTAATCTGGGTTCCTCCCGAACACTGGTGGTTCTGCTCCTCACCAGTTTGGGACTGGAGGTGCTCTTAAGGAGAAGTTCAAAAATAGCTGTGACCTTTAAAGACTCACGGGGGGGAAAAGCAAGCCCACTGAATTGTCAAACTAAACCAGAAAGGCCTGATTTGGGCCTGTTTTGAACACCTCTCCTAGTCCCATACCATGGGACCACAGGAAGAGAGGACACACACAGTCCAAACTAGGGACACGGTTGCCTTTCCTGCAACGCTTTTCACAGGTTAGAATGATTAAGGCTTGTGAAAAACAAGTTGTATACAAACGATAACGTATGACAGGCCTTTTGTCTAGATTCCAACGAGGAACCTGGCCCATTTTTATTATGTTTACAAGGATTACCAAGTATGTTTTGTTTGCAAAAATCAATTTCATAACTTGGTAATCGCTTCTACAACTAATAGGGGCTACTGCTCTTTTTTTCTTTGAAGATTTTATTTTACTTGTTTATTTTTGAAAGCTTACTTATTTTGAGGGAGAGAGAGCGAGCACGTAGTGGGGGTGGGCAGAGAGAGGGAGAGAGAGAATGCCAAGCAGGCTCCACGCCGTCCGCACAGAGCCTGACGTGGGCCTTGATCCTACAAACCCCGAGATTACGACCTGGGCCGAAATCAAGAGCTGGATGCTCAATGAACTGAGCCACCGAGGTGCCCCTAAGGTTTTTTTTTTAAGTAATCTCTACAACCATCGTGGAACTTGAACTTACAATCCGAGATCAAGAGTCCTACGCTCTACTGCCTGAGCCAGCCAGGCGCCCCCAAGTGCTGCTGTTCTAACAAAGAAAGTCAAATAATATTGATCGTCTCCATACCAGAGTTGGAGATCTGAAGCTGGTTTTTGTTTTCTTGAAATTGTTTTTTAAGACCAGTTAGCACTAGAACTAAAAGTTCTAACTAAAAGACTAGATTAACACTAGAACTTTTAAATATTTAGTTAGCAAATAAATTGTGAATATTAACAACAGAAATAAAAATAAACAACTGGCCGTTATTAGTATAACGTTATGAAAAGTATTTAGATTTTTTTTTTTTTTTTTTGCCATTTAGAATTAAAGAAAGTCTGGCTTACTTAGTTCTCAGATTCCAGGTAACAGCGTTTGTAGAGGGCCTCTCCCGCAGTCAGGCTTCTTAAATGTACCAGGCATTTAGCGATGGTGCTATGCCCCACGAGGCTTTTTAAAAAATCTGTGAAACGAAAAGGGAAATACGTGAAGGGATGTAACACACACGTAAGTGTACATACACATAAGCATGCTGGTGAACTAATCCTACGTATTCACTTTTTGTTTCTCCAAATTATGGCTGGTTCACTTTTCTCTTTTAAAATTTCTTTCCCGCCAGTCTTGTTTTCCTAATGCTTGTTGTGTATGGCTCAAGTTTGAAAATATTTGCAATTTGGGTCAAGCTTTTCCAAAAAAAAAACAAAACCTCTAGTAGCATGTCCCAAAGTGGGTGCCAAGGAATAGTTTAATGGTCAAATATGATTGGAAAATCCAATATGTTTTACCCTCTCCCCCCGCCCCCCCACCAGGGAAGATATCTGTGCTCACTGGCCCATTAAAGACAACCTTGTAATTGAGTTAGCGGCTTAGTTCATCTTCTTGCAAGTATCTCCTCCACCACCACCCGACACCAGATCTGTATTCAAGAAACATGGTTGGGGGGGGGGGAGCCTGCTAAAATACTTAAGCATCGCAAGCGCTTAGACATCAGGTCATATAATCAAACTGATGCCACTAAGCAGTTCCTACCCTTTCCCGGCTCAGACATTTGAGGCAGTCTCTATGCAACCACTAAACGATCTGATCTCTAAGCTAAATGAACAGAGAAACTGAAGTGGCCTCACACTACAAAGAAAATAAACTTTTGAAAAGTAACCTAGAAAAGTCGGTAAACAAAAGGGCAACAATGACAAACCTTGGGCAGGGTCCCTGGACAGAGGTCTGCCTTCCGGAGTTAACACGTTATAAAATGTCCCTTTGCAACAACAAAAAGAAATTACAAGGCACAGCAAGAAACACACAAGTCTGGCCCAGATACAGGAAAAAAGCAGTCAATTAAAAACTGTCCCTGAGAAAGTTGGGGCATTGGACTTCAAGACTTTAAGTCAGCTATTAGAAGTATGTTCAAAGAACCAAAAAACTGAAAGAAAGGATGAGAATGATATTTAACCAAACTGAGAATCTCAATAGAGAGAAAAATTATAAAGAAAAAACCCAACCGCACTGTGGAATTCAAAAGTACAATGACTGAACTGAAGAAGTGTCTAGAAGGGCTCCACAGCAGGTGTGAGCGGACAGAAGAAAAAAATCAGTGGAACTGAGCAGAGGTCAAGTGAGAGAACAAAAAGAAACAAAAGAAGGACAAAAAGAAAAAAGGTACAAGAAAAATGAACAGAGGGGGCCCCTGGGTAGCTCAATGGGTTAAGTGTCCCGACTTTGGTTCAGGTCATGATCTCACAGTGAGTTCGAGCCCTGCATTGAACATTTTGCTTTCACTGCAGAGCCTGCTTCAGATCCTCTGTTTCTGCACTCTCTCCTCCCGCCCCCCATCCCTCCCCTGCTCATGCTCGCTCTCTCCAAAAAATAAATCTTAAAAAAAAAAGAGAGAGAGAGAGAAATGAACAGAGCCTCATAGACCTGTGAGATACTATTAAGCATATTAACAGGTGCACAGTAGAACTTGCAGAAGAAAAGGTGGGGGCGGGGGGGACAGGAAACAGGGGAGAGGTAGAAAAAAATATTTAAATAATGCCGAAAACTTCCCCAATTTGATTTAAAAAAACTAATCTACGCACTCAAGAGGTGTAATGAGCTCCAAGTATGCAAAATGGTACAATCGTTTTGGCAGTTTGGTCGTTTCTTACAAAGCTAAACATAGGCTCACCTTTCAACATAGTGATCATGTTCCTAGGTTTGTTTGATGGTCTAAGACAATGGCCTATGCTGGACAACGTTCTGTGTGTTCTTGAGAAGACTGTGTATTTTGTTGATGTTGGGTGAATTGTTCTACAGATGTCCATTAGTCTAGTTGGTTTATATTATAGTTCAAGTTTTCTTGTTGACGTTCTTCCTTCTATCCATTTCATAATTATGAAATGTCCTTCTTTGTCTCTAATAGTTTTTGTTGTGTTTTTTTTTATTTTTTTTTCAACGTTTATTTTATTTTTGGGACAGAGAGAGACAGAGCATGAACAGGGGAGGGGCAGAGAGAGAGGGAGACACAGAATCGGAAACAAGCTCCAGGCTCTGAGCCATCAGCCCAGAGCCCGACGCGGGGCTCGAACTCACGGACCGCGAGATCGTGACCTGGCTGAAGTCGGACGCTTAACCGACTGCGCCACCCAGGCGCCCCAATAGTTTTTGTTTTAAAGTCTATTTTGTCAGATATTCGTATAGTTACCCTAGCTCTTTTTGGGTATTTGTCAGCATGGTGTATACTTGCATTCTTTTACTTCAACCTAATTGTGTCTCTAAATCTAAACCATGTCCCTTGTAGATATCAAATAGTTGGATTACTTTTTAAAAATCGATATTGCTGATCTCTGATTGGAGATCTTAGTCCATTTACATTTAATCTGCCACTTAAAAAAAATACTTATTCTTTTGGGAGAGCACAAGGTGGGGAGGGGCGCAGAGAGGGCGACAGAGGATCCGAAGATGGGCTCTGCACAGACAGTCTGACAGCAGTGAACCTGAAGTGGGGCTCGTACTCACAAACCATGAGATCATGACCAAGCTGAAGTCGGACGCTCAACCGATTGAGCCACCCAGATGCCCCTAATCTGCCATTTTGCTATGTGACCCAAACACACACCAAGGCTTCCTCACCCAGAGTCTACTAAAGAACCTGGCAAACATTTTAGCAGGGATGAGAGAGTCTCTTAGCAGAGACAGAAAGTCTCTCCTTTGAATACAGATGCCTTTCCTGAAAGGGAAGACTTCCTTGTGGACCGACCATGAATGTTTTTAAGTAGAAAAACACAAGTTAAGAAGACATGGAAGAAAGGGCGCCTGGGTGGCTCAGTCGGTTAAGCGTCCGACTTCAGCTCAGGTCACGATCTCTCGGTCCATGAGTTCGAGCCCCGCGTCGGGCTCTGTGCTGACTGCTCAGAGCCTGGAGCCTGTTTCTGATTCTGTGTCTCCCTCTCTCTCTGACCCTCCCCCGTTCATGCTCTGTCTCTCTCTGTCTCAAAAATAAATAAACGTTAAAAAAAAATTAAAAAAAAAAAAAAAAAGAAGACATGGAAGAAGAAAATAATTCCACCATGTTAAGAAGGAAAGCCAGGACCTAATGGCAATAGATCTTAATACGTGCCTTTTTGAAATTAAAACCAAGAAGCACAAAAATATTAAGGTCTATAAATAACGAAAGTAAACTCTGACCTTTTATAATGCTGATACTAATTAAGGAGAGCTGGTCAAGGAAGGGGACAAGAAGAAAGAGGTCAAACGCACCCGAGGTAACAGTTCAGTCTCTAGAAGCGTTCCAACAGAAGAAAATGAACAACTCCAACTGTCAGGATTCGGGTGCAGTGAAGTTCTCACTGGAGTAGGAGGACAGACAACAATGACCTCAGGGAGAGTGAGAGAGGAAGCAGCAAGTCAAATTGGAAAAGCAGACAGTCGAGAGGGAACTGATTAAACAGACCCAAGAATCCCAGACTGACTGACAGTAGGGAAAGAAAGAATCAGCTCTATTTATGCTACAGGGTGTTCAAAAGTGTCAGAGAAATGGTGGCAGATTCCAATGGGGGGTGAGAGTGCTTAAAAAACAGCAACAACAACAACAACAACAACAACAACAAAATAGTATTGACTGGCAGCTGCTTGAAAGCAACTGGGTCTTGGGGCACCTGGGTGGCTCAGTCGGTCAAACGTCCAACTTTTGGTTTCGGCTCAGGTCGTGATCTTATGGTTCGTGATCTCACCAGTTGTGAGTTCGAGCTCTACACTGGGCTCTGTGCTGACAGCGCACAGCCTACTTGGGATTCCCTCTCCCCTTCCTTCTGCCCCTCCCCTGCTCACGCTCTGTCTCTCTCAAAGTAAATAAATAAACTTTAAGAAGAAAACAGCAGTTGGGTCTTGGGGGCCTGGGTGGTTCAGTCAGTTAAGCATCCAGCTCTTCGTTTTGGCTCAGATCATGATCTCGGTTTTGGGGATCGAGCCCCACCTTGGGCTCTGCACTGACAGCGGGAGCCTGCTTAGGTTCTCTCCCTCCTTCTGCCCCTCACCCATTTGCATATGAGCTGTTTCTCAAAATAAATAAATAAACTTTTAAAAAATACGAAATAAAAAAATAAGAACAGTTAGGTCTCTACCCTGACAGCTGGCCAAGACCCGAGATTTCATTTCTGCAGCCTGGGGCACACCAGGCCTAATGGAAAGCGGGGTTTCCAACCAGGAAACAGTGGGGTTAAGTGAACGCAAAGACAATAGGTATTGAGATATCCTTCCCTATTTCCAGCTATCAGTTCCCAGCACTTTGACAGCCAAGCCAAAGCAGGAGTTTATTTACTAGGGAATCCAACCAGGCCAAGCCTTAAATACGCTGCTTCAATTGGAAATTTCCCCCAAAGTGCTCGCTTCGGCAGCACATACACTAAAATTGGAAATTTCCCCCAAATGTTCAAAAACGGATTGTGTATACGGAGAAGAAAATTAATAATAATGTCCTCAGAGAGGAAAAAATACTGCATTCAACCAGTCAGTAATTAAAACAGATTATATAGCCTGAAAACAGACAAAACAACACTCCCACCCCATATGCTCTTGTGCAGTATGACCTTGTATTCTACAATCAAGAAACAGTCAGAATTCCTTTCCCCTTGAATCTGGTCAACCTCATGACTACATTGACCAGAAGAGTTTGGCAGATGTGACACTGTATGGCCACCAAGGCTGGGTCACGTAAAACCATGCTGCTTCTGGGGCACCTGGGTGGCTTAGTTAGTTGAGCATCTGACTCTTGATCTCAGCTCAGGTCTGGATCTTAGGGTTGTGAGTCTGAGCCCAGAGTTGGGCTCCCTGCTGGGTGTAGAGCCTACTGGAAAAACAAAAAACAAAAAACTATGCAGCTTCCAATTGGTGGTCTTGGAAAATCTGCTCTCCAGAAACTTCCCTGAAGAACCAGCTTCACTGTTGTAAAAAGCCACATGGAGAGTCCATGGTACCCAAGTCAACAGTCCCAGATGAACCTAACCTTCATTCATCCCAGCCCAGGTGCCAGACATGTAAGTGAAGAAGCCACTGGATGACATCAGCTCTTAGCCACTCAAGTCTTATCTGAATTCCTGACCCACAGAATGTGTAAGCAAAAAATAAAAATGGAAATGTTTATGTTATTACATTTGGGGAGGTCTGCTTCACAGCAGGGACTAGAAAAAAATAAGAAACCACATAAACAGAACACTTAGCAAATGAAAATGAGCTCTTAAAAAAAATTAATGACATGATAGGAAAAACTGAAAAACTCAACAGAAGTGCTGGAAAATAAAGTGAGAAAACTCTCAGGGAGTTAAGCAAACAGGCGAACGAACTGGTGGGGAAATTAGAGGGAAAAAAAAAAAAAGGTCATTTAGAGAAAGAACCAGACCAGGAGATCCACTATCTGAATAACAGGACCTCCAGAAAGGCAAAACAGAAAAAAAAAAAAAAAAAAAAAAATGGAAGCAATTAATTAAATGGCTGAAGATTATTTCTCACAAACAAAGAATGGTTGCCAGATTGGAAACCTCTTGGAATACCTTCAACAATGCTGAAGGCAATAATTCCAGATGAGAATTCTTTGAACCAGATAAATTATTAAGTCAATTAAAGGTAAAATAAAAGATTTTACATCTTAAGACACGGAAATTCGCAAAACATTTACCTTTATGCGCTTTATCTCAGGAAATTACTGGAGGATAAGCGCCATCAAAACAAGTATAGGGGTGCCTGGCTGGCTCAGTGGGTAGAGCGTGCAACTCTTAATCTCGAGGTTGTGTGTTCGAGTCCACTTTGGGGGTAGAGTTTACTTTAAGAAACTAAACAACACCAACAAAAAAACCTAAAGTATAAACTAAGAAGGGGGAAGGTATAAGAATCAGAAAAGGTATATCCCAGGATGATAGTAAAGGAACATCCTAGGCCATGTCACAGGCCAACAGACAACCCTAACAGGCTGGGGCAGATCAGAAGGCCCCAGGAGAGATGTCTTCTAGATGGAACTGTTGGAATACATGAAGGGAAGAAGCATATTGAACACCGATTTCAACTACAGGCAGAGTTTGCGCAGTGAACTTGTGAACAAAGTACTTTGCAAACAAAGCAAATGATGGAGGGTTGGGGGTGGTAATTATTGATTCCAAAGAAATCAGAGACACGCAATGATGAAAAAAGCAATCGGCGTGCTCTGTGGCTTAGCTCTGCCGGGCATCAGTCTTAATGTACACACTAGCCGTCCAATCGAGATCCAATGAAACCTTAATAGGAGCACAGAGCAACGGGAAAGATGGTCATCGAAAGCAATGGGTTGTGTGCTTTGCCCAGCATTACATACCTGCCCGTGGGAGAGGCTCTAAGTGATGTCGTTGCTCCAAGCGATAATCTCATCTACCACCCCTCCTGTTCAATCTCATCCATCACCTCTCCCAATGGTAATGAGGAGACAGAAGAAGTGGGGGGCTGTTTTCGCAAGGGTAAGTACGTAGGGAGATATGTGTAAAGGAAGTCCAGAAACCACTGATTATCAAAGGTAGATTTCGGTTTGCAATTAAGTTCGGAAACGGGAGAAGACCTTACAATGTAAAAACTAACAGCTAAGTATGAGTAGCGCACGACTCCGTATTTTAAAGAAACCAATTCCAAAAGATGACATTCATCCCAATCACACACTTACTAGTTTCAGTGAATTTAGCTAAGTATCACTACCTCGAAAATGGAAAAAAAAAAAAAAAAAAAAAAAAAAAAAAAAAGAAAGAA